TGCTAAGGTACTAATTTCTTTACTAAAATTCTATTAGCCTTTTCGTTCACTCTATAATTTTTCCTGTTAGTTTTTTCAATATTATCAAAAAGTCATTGGAGACAACTTTAAATCCTTTTAATGCTGAGATGTTAATTGAATTGAATTAAAACTCGCCTAATTAGACAAAAATATTATTAGCCTTTTTGCTGACACTTTTAGTTTTAGAATGATAAACATCATTGGAGACCACTTTACAGAATTTTAATCCTAATATATAAATTTGACTCAAATCGAAATGATTATAATGCTATATATTTTATGCGCTACATATTTTGTGTTCATTAGAATCAGTAGTTGCTATTATTTAACTATTGAAGTAAAGCAGAGTTTACTTATTTAAACAGGTTTAAAAAACATTTAAGTTTCTCTTCTTTCTATTGGAAAAAAAGTTACGGACTGGTAAGATGTTTCGACTTTTAAAAGCAAACAAAGATGAGAGGCGCCTCAGGTCGAGAGCAGTGTTTAGAGTATGGACTAGAAACAGGGCCAGCCAGACACGGCTTTTCTTCATCCTTGGATTAAAAACCGGGCTCGAATACCTTGCCGAGACAATTTATCCGAGTACAGCTCGGCACAATGTGGACGGCTTAAAATGTTTACGACATAAACACCGGGTTCGCAATCCTCAAGGGGTGTGACGTTAAAATCAACAAAACTCCGGACCGCTGCTCAACCGTTACTCATAAACCGGGAAACAAATAGATCTAAAATTAAACGAATCACAATCTCACTGACATTTATTACTTTTGTATACGTCAGTTTAGCATTGTTCACTTTGGACTTGGACATTATTATCCTCGGAATGAAAATCCTAACTCGTACATAAAATAATACCACCCTGGAATGAAATTTTTGCAAATCCAATTACAGACGCAAACCTTATTTGATAAAAGTAAAACGAAATAAGGATATTTATAAATAAAGTCGATTTATTTTGATGTTTAAGACACTCATATTGAGGTCTATAACAAAATAATCAATACATGGACCTGGACGTTTCCCCATGTTTATGTTGTCCTTTGCTGTGAAAGAGGCGAAATCAATAAATTACACCGCTGGAGATGGAAACAAAAAATGCGAGGAAACTCTGGGTGTTTAATTGTTCTACACACATATGTACATAAATACTTACTTACAATGCAATGATCTTAGCACACAAAAAACGTATAAATCATAATTATACATCAACAAGGCGCCAAACTGTTTGAACTGCGAACTCTTATTAATCTATCTTAGGAATGAAAATCGATATATTTTTCTTACTGTATATAATAATTTAAATAATTATAGGTGTCAACTTATTGAGAGAGAGAGAGAGAGAGAGAGAAAGAGAGGGAGAGAGAGAGAGAGAGGGGGGGGGATATAGCGATTTGGAAGACTAGCATGAAGACATAAGGAAAAGAAGAGAATAAGGTGTGTAAGAGGAAATGAAACAGAAAGCGAAAGGGGGGAAATAGAAAAATATTGTGGACGTAACTGTAATTAAAGGGGAAGGTAGAAAGAAAGTGAGATAGGTAGACAGATATATATATATATATATATATATATATAGAGAGAGAGAGAGAGAGAGAGAGAGCTGGAGTTATTGACAGAGGGAGGGAAGGAGGAAGATAGGGATAGAGACAGAGAAAGGAGGAAGAGGAAAGGAAATTGATAAACCGAGATAGAGAAAGGAAAAGTAGGAAAATAAAGGGAGAGATAAAGATCGAGAGAGAGAGAGAGAGAGAAGGGAGAGAGATAAAGAAAGAGAAAGCGATTGGGAAGTTTAGGATGTAGAGGTAAGGGAGAAGAAAAAAGAGAGAAATGTAAGAGTAAAGGAAACTAGGAGAGAGAAAGAAAGAGAGAGAGAGAGAGAGAGAGAGAGAGAGAGAGAGAGAGAGAGAAACAGATTCTGAGCGTATGCGCATATATAATATTAATAGAGAAGTGATCGATTGATTGATTATATATATATATATATACTTTATTTTTCCTTTTATACAAAAAACAATTACAAGAGTGTACATGAATAACAATCTGTCTGTAGGTAATATATGTATATTGTATAATAATTAATTTCCGGATAATTTCATCTAAACTTGGAGCTTTAAATTTTAAAGTCCTTGCTGGAACAAACTTTTTAGACTGTTTATTATTATTTATGATTGTTTGGAGATCGTGAGTTGTGGTCTGGTGTGACGTAGGTTTAGAAAAACATTTGCTTTGTCGTCCCAACGTTTCGATCTTTATTGAGATCATCTTCAGGGCTCAAAGGTTTTCTGTGTGGGATGTGCCAATGTGACTGTGTGTCGTGTTGAAAGTGCCCAAAAAGTGGCACATCATAGATTATTATTTATTCGTCTGCTTAAATAAAGTTTTATTTTTTCATGGAAAACAGTTTAATTCACAAAGGTTCATACCTGTTTAAGCAGATGCTTACTATTCTAACTTTCTATTATTAGTCATTTTTACCTTATGCATTACCGATTCGCAGAATGAAAATAAATAACGTTATATTTTATGTAAATTAAACTATCAATTATAGATCTGGTATTAAAGTTGTCTTTACAAAACATCATTTTGATTATGAGACAATATTTACGTGGCTGTTCATACACTAACATATTTCAAACTGCAGATCCTCAACGAATCGTTCAGTATCATTAAATTCTACCGTCATATATAAAAAAATTAAATTGTCGAAGAGGAAATCTTTTCTGAAGTATTGATTTCACAATATTTGAAGTAAAAAATTTAAATTCACATAATCGACATTGTTGAAGGCTATTAACTCTATGTTGTATATATAGATTTCAACGCGCCTCATTGTTTGATGTGAATCATCACAATCCAACTTAGCTGGGTCTATTCTTGCAAAACCACTTCTAGGAAGTAGCTGAACAGGGATCATAAATGATTATTTTTTTGTTGTATGTATTGCCGTTAGATTATAGATATATGTTACATTATAGTCCTAAGGTTACATTTAATAATTTGTTGGATTCGTGAAGAGCGGTCATGTTATATTTAGTAATTGTAAACTTGTTTGATATGTACAAAATTTGGGCGAAAAGGGACTTTAATTGTTAATATATAAGAAAGTTGGCTTAATTGCTTTATTATTGTCATGTCGATGGATAATTCTTCAAGATTCGCTTTGCTTTAAACGGTTCCATTTGATAAAAATTAATAGATTAAAAGGGGAGACGCTTTATTATTTTTTTTACGTAAAACGCTCAGTTTTGGAAGTGGGTCTCGTTTCTAAAATTACCTGTTAACAGTTTTATTTCGGTCCGTTGAGTGCGCGGGGAGGGGTTTCGAAGTCTTCATCGTCTTTGATCCGTCCGGACGAAGGCCCACTCATCTTCCATCTCATTGGGTATCCAATTAATTATATCAGCCGATCGAATCCCCCGATCTCGGCTGCCAAATTCCGGTCCCGCCTACGCCTCCGCCTTTTAAAAAAATCCCGAAAGGACGTCCGTGGCAGAACCGAAATAAATAATCGTGAGAGGGCGGACCCAGCACTTAAGACCCGGCCTTCGAAGAGTTTACTACGGCACCCACTGTAAACCAGTGTATCTGACGTCAATACTAAATTATCCGACTGTTTTTGACACTCTTTTCTTTTACTATTCTGAAATCGATTAGTTGCAGTTCTGAAAATGTTTCTTTCTTAAGTTCTCATTTAGCAAAAATAAACCTGCAAATAAAAGCCAAGTAAAGTGCTGTCATGCAAGAGGGTTTTACGGTTAACGCCAGGTGTCGCAGATGAAGATCATTTTGCAATACTAAAAAAAAGAAAAAAGGAGGCAATGCCGGGGAGTACGTACATACAACCACAAACAAAGCAAATAAAATCACCGGATACCATGAACATCTGTACAAATATCTGCGTTATATGAGCAAATCGATAGTTGATAATTATTGATCAGTCTGAGTTTCAACAAGGCCGGTTTTGCAAAAGCCCCTACTAGTCGTATTTATTCCTCTAACATATATCGACTATAAAAGTCAGTGAGTGAGAAAGTGCGAGAGAGAGAGAGAGAGAGAGGAGAAGAGAAGGGAGAGAGTGAGTGAAAGAAAGAGAGGGAGAGAGAAAAAGATAGAGAGAGAGAGAGCGCGAGAAAGAGAGAGAGTGAGAGGGGGTCTAAACAACATATGTGGAGAGGAGAAACTAAAGAAAATGGTTACAAGTGAGATGAAGAGAGAGAGAGAGAGAGAGAGAGAGAGAGAGAGAGAGAGAGAGAGAGAGATAGACAGACAGAAATGAGAATGATGAAAGAAAAGAGAGAGAAAGATGGACAGTGAATGAGAATGATGACAATGCGTGACATAGAGAACCGGTGAATGGGTAATAGCGCTTATAGTAATACTTATATATTATCGGTAAGCAAATAATTAATAATATCATACATATATTGGATAATAATAAAGTTTCGGATAAGTCCATCTGTAAGTTCAGGGCATCACATTTTAAAGATCCTGCTGGAACAAGCTTTTGAGACTGTTGATTATTATTTCCTTTTATACGTCTGTGGAAAAAGAAAATAAAGATAGAGAGAAAGAAGGAGTAAGGGAAGGAGAGGGATTAAGAAAGAGAGAACATAATGAGAGGAAAGGAGAGGAAAGGAGAAGAGGGAGAGAGAGAGATACAGTCTGACAGACAGACAGAAGGAGAGACAGAGAGAGAGAGAGAGAGAGAGAGAGAGAGAGAGAGAGAGAGAGAGAGAGAGAGACAGACAGACAGACAGACAGACAGACAAACAGAGAGAGAGGGAGAGAGAAAGAGAGAGTGAGAGAGAGAGAGCGAGTGAGAGAGGAAAAGATATGTAACTAAAGTTTTATGTAATTTTTTAAAAGACAGATCTTTGAAAACGTTAGAATTAGTCGTTAACTATCTCTTATTTATTATTTTACATCTATCTTTTTTTTGTAGAACAGAAGTAGAGAAAGAAGTAGATTGTTTTATGTTTCAGGGTAGATGCGTTTGGAGTAACGTGAGCGGGCGGAGTGTTACGCTGACGGAGACAACGCTGCAGCAGTTGACGGAAATTGAAAGGAGGATCCTGCAGAAGGTCGCCTTGGCCAAGCTGCAAGCGTTGAACCTAGGGGTCACTGTGAAAATACCTTCAGGTAGGCCGTTTTCCACAATCCTTCGCTGGATAATAAACATCAAAAATTGTGTTTGTCTATTTTTTCCTTTTTCTTCTTCTTCTTCTTCTTGGCCTCGGTCCAAGCAGTCGTTGGCATCACGCTTCAAATTCGAGCTCGTATTCATACAGTAGAAAATCTGATCGAGGCAAAATCTTTACTCAATGCAAAATTATTATTGCTCCCGTTGACATCTCGCCAGTCGCTTGTTCCCACTCAAAACTCAAAGCCAAAAGTATACAATACATGCTAAAAAGTCAAGCAGAAATTACGTGACATTAATAAAAACATCGCTATTCGCTATAATGATCCAAACAGTCAACTTGAAAAAAATTTCATTATTTTTAAATAACTAAAGATTATTGGCATCAAGGTTGAACGGATATACTATATTGTCAAACCGTTGGTGAAAATTTAACCACGCGTTAGATGGTAGATGTATTAATCGGATTGTGTATTGTACTGCGCCCTTTAATAGGCATTGCATCTATTCTGTGCTTAAAACATACCGGCAAGTGGAATCTCTTCTGCGATTTCGTTGGATCACCGAAAACACTTTCTCCTGCTGGCGAGTGTAGCACCATAGTTTAGTTTGTTAGTAGATGTGGTTTACTATCCTTTACAGAATCTGCTCGTGCCGTTGGGTTCTGCCAATCTTCAGATGTCCATTTAACTTGCAGTGTCTGTTAGGATTCGCAGTTTTTCCCTATTTCCTTTAATACATTATGTTACCTCTTTCCTACCAAAGTTTGTTATGAGTTTCTTGGATTGGTTTTGTCCAATGAGCGAATTCCATTGTTCCCTCATTTCCTTTTTTATCCTTCTGTCTTAGGATAGTGTGTATTCCTGTACCACAGAAATGCTCGGGCCCTATCAGCGCTATAGCATACTTTCTCGTCGCCTTCTTCTCCCACATGTCCCGGGACCCATCCGAAGCTGACTTTGTTCTGCATACCTAATTTGTTTAGTTTGGTATCGCATTTCAGCACCATCATTGATCTAATGGTGTTTGAACTTAGCGCTTTGGTGGCTGCTAGGCTATCTGACATGAGAGCTACATTCTTTTTTTTTTGTACCCTTATTCAGGTTGAATTGGGTAATCTTTCGATTGCCTTAGCTTGGAAGATATTGGTGCACTTTCCCATGAGTTTCGAGTATTTGGTCCCAGGACCGAATACAATTGCCCCCGTGCCAGGTGTTAGTTACATTATTATAACTATACTATGGTCTGAACTTTAATCGAGTCTCATATTACTACAAAATAATCTTAAAGTTGATTTTAAATTATTAATTTTAATCTTATAATCAGGGCCAGGGGGCAGGGGAAGTGAGAAAGGCCTAGTGGTTAGGGATGGTCACTATAATAATAATAATAATAATAATAGGGGGGCGTCGGTGGCCGCAAGGTTTAGTCTTTGACACGGCGCTCATCACTGTAAGGTAAAGGTCCCGGGTTCGAATCCAGCGGCCCTGCATTCGAACCCGACATACTTACAAATGGGCTTTTTTTCAAAAACACCGGCACCCTGAGGGTTTATATGACCTCTGCTGTTGCGAACCCTCGTAAAAAAAAAAATAAAAAAAAAAATAAAGATGTACATATTTATAAGTATAGATAACATTATTTTCTTTTCCCAAATCAATCATCTAAGCCTATAAACCAAGGCATTATTTTTTTCTATTTGGCCCAGTCATTATTAATGTGCATCTTCCTGAATAGTTGCCATGATCAAAGAGAAAGGATTGGGCCAGTTTACTACCACTCCATGATTTTATGTCATTTGAAGTGAAAGAAATTAGTAAATTAATAATCAACCAAATCTCCTCGAACGGTTTATTTTATATCTCCGGTCCTAATTTATTTGTGGAGGCCAGTTTGTAGTTTATACGGTTCTAAACCATTGTAAATTTCCTTGTGGTTCGGTCGAGTCGTTTCAAAGTTATTGCAATTTTTGTGATTTTCCAAAATGAAGGGAAAAAATTGTATAAAGTTTATTTGATTTTCCCCAAAAACATCCCCTATCAACTTTGTTTCTTGTTAAAATTTTTGTTTAACTTAATTTGCTACTGTGCTCTGTCACAAAATAATTGTACCTCAATAGATAGCTCGAATTTGCTCTACCACAAATTGATTCTTTTTAAGCTAAGTTGTTTGGTTGGTGTGCAAATTGTGTAGTTAAGTAAAAAAATTTGCTTAATTGTATTGAATCTTAAAAAAATACAAAATTAAAAAAAAATTCATTTTATTCATCAATTCACACCATAATTCAAGAAAATGTCTTCTTAAATAAGCTTGTATTAATTTATTCAAAAGACGTTTCTAAGTCTGTACCTGTTTTTCAGAAAGCCCCCAGCCGTCGGCCGTCGTCCAGAAGCCGAAAAGGAAAGCTTATCTCTTGAAGAGGAAAGCGATCACGACGGGCTTTTTCGACTCGAGCCACAAGGACAAAGGTAAAGAAAGGGACACTGTGCAACGACGCGGACGGTTGATCGACTTAGGGCAGTTTTCCTATGTTCCAGGCAGCAGCACGGAAAGCTGTTCCGGGAACGGTGGCGGCACTGTGTTCGGCATACCTTTGGAGCAGTGCGTCGAAAATGAGAGGGCGAAGACAAATCAGCTTTCCCCAGAAGAACCCCTCCTCGAGCTCAGGAGGAAATCGCACCATGGAAGCAGAGGCAGCTTCAGCTCTCTCATCGAACCCAGACCCGACGAGGTAACTTCCGTTATTTATCTTTTGCCTTTTTTGCACGAACGTGAAAACACAAGCCTTTTTCTTGTGAAAGATGGCATTTAAATGTCAGTGGCTCAACCAGGAAACATTTTTTCACATCATAAACAAATATAAATGGTCTAATTCACCACAATCTTTTTAATTTTACTGTCAATGTGTCAAATTTTCGATTTGTAAAGCCTGGGCCTTGAAAAGCCAAGAAATCACGAAAAAGGAACGGATTTCACGGGTGAGTCTATGTGACCCAGTAGGAAATCTATTTTAGGTCAAACCACTCATACCACTTCTACCCCTCTTCAACGATAGCCTAATATCTATATACTTATTTATATATACAGATTATAAATACATTTTGATTTATTTCATTTACTTAAAGCATTATTGCTAAAAAAAACAGGGCTGACCTTACCGTCGGACAATGGTTTGAGGGCTAGACTTCCGCGTAGACGGAATAGAATCGATTATTTTCTTTTTATTTATTTTAGCCTGTGTGATGTGCCAATTTTAAAATGCACTTCAGTCAGACAAAGATTACATAAACATGCTTATTTATCACTAAAAAGTTCGGAGTGCAGATTTTGTTTTATATATATAATAAATGTCTATGCAATGTCTATCGTGTTTTTAATATAAACATTTATTAAATCTACAGAATGTAACACGATTAACAGTACATATTATGTTCTATAGTGAGAATTCTTCCTTAGGTCTGGGGTCATTTTGGTCTGCTTATCCTCGCAGTTTTGGTCTGTCAGACGCGTTTTGTTATTAAAGTCTATCTGTTAAATTAACGGTCTAGATATAACAAAGAGAAAATGGAAAAAGAAAGGAAGAAAGAGAGAGAGGGAGAGAGAGAGAGAGAGAGAGAGAGAGAGAGAGAGAGAGAGAGAGAGAGAGAGAGAAACAGAAATATAGTTTGACAGTACTCACAGTAAGGAGGAGGCAAAGCGTGATAGTTGCTTAAGTGAATGATAAATAGATTGAGAGAGAAATATAAAGAAATAGTGGTACAAACAGAGGAAGAGAGCGAGAGACGTCGCATCGAGATTGAGAGTGAGGATGAAAGAAAGAGAGAGAGATCAATAGAAAGAAACTTAAATAAATTAAATAAAATAGAGTTAAATAGAGAAACAGAATGATACATAAGATACATATGTTGATATCTAGATCCATAGAGTTTTGTCTATATATACTATATATATAGACAATTTGATTGATCGATCCAAAATATGGTTGAAGATAGATGTATTGATAAGGGAATGATAAATTGATTGGTTGATAGATAGGTAGATGAGAGAGGGGGAAAAAGAGCGGAAAGATATCATCGAAAGAGAGAGTGGAAGGGAGGAAAATGGACTAAGAAAGAAAGAGTTTGATCAATACAAAAATGTGTACAAATCCAGCATTCAGTAAACTTACGTAGCACACATGTGTATGTATAGAAAAATCCTTATAAAAACCTCAAGCACTTTCTTATGCTAAAGAATTATAGCAATGCTTTTGGTGTCAAACAAATCAAAAGAAAAAATATAGAATTTTTTATCTTTATTTATATCTTTTATTCTATCGACCAGCCTTTACTCTATAATAGTCTCGTGGATTAGAGATCAAATAAATGAGTTCCTCAGTGGATGTGCACCAATAATTAATTATCATTCGCCATAGCTCCAAATATGATTTATATGGTCACATTTTATTTAAATGTGAGCGTATAAACTTTTACTCTCGACGTATAAAATTTGACTTGTAAGCGTATAAATTTTGAAAGGATGTAATCTTATAGTCGCAGTTAATCCTTTAATAACCCAAGTTCTTGAAACTTCCCTAGGAAACACTCGAGTAAAGTCAGCGGCCTGATTTTCCCGTGTGCATCAAGCCAGTAAAGCCAATTGAAAAAATAACATACAGCACGGTTATGAGATCCGGTTCCTGATTCACCATTGGTGATAGTTCTAATAAAGATTTTTCCTTTGGCACTGTCACAGAAAGAGGGCCGAGCCTGAATGAAATGTTGGACGGCCTAGACCAGAGTAAATAATTTCGTAGGAGTTTTCAGTAATTTTTTCCCAATAGTCGGACACTCTGTTTCAACTGAATTAGTGCCAAAATGTTATAATTCTCTAACTTAATTTATAAAAGTATCGCGACGCCAAAGTATCCTGACAAGACGCCGTGTAGTTCGGATAACGTCCGTTTCAAAATGAAGTAAAATATCGTGAACAATGTCAACGATTATTTGCGAGGAGGACGTGGTGCTGGTATGCTGAGGAGATATTTCTCGACCTCCGGTTGGCAACAGACCTCAAGGTAGACATACTTCTCTACCTTTGGCATTCACAAATGAATTCCTCAAACCCCCTCGTCTATATTTGGATATCTAGAAAAAGATTCCAAGAAAAGGAATAATGAGATTTTTAAACGTCATGTTGTGACAGTTGGATTTCTTCAATTAAATATTAAACCATTCTGATAAAACCAACGACGCGCGACAGTCCAATCGGTCTTGCTTCTTAAGATTATCAACCCTGTCGATTCATCGTTCGTACTAATACACATAGAAAACTTTATACAAGAAACAAAAGCTTTACACTGATACAAAAATTAGTGTTGGACTTTTACGTGTGTGTAACAAAATAATAAATCCAAAAAATTTTGATCTGCCTATTGTCGCGGAATGTCTTCATAAGTCGTTTTTCCACATTACTCTCTGCAGTTCAAGATTGAAGTACAAAAAGATGGAAAAAGATTGGCATATTAATTATATAGTTGGACATTAAGTTAAGGAACACACCACTCTTTCTCACCCACACTCTCTGAGAAAAGGGCATAACAAAAATAATATTTCAAATTTTTTTAAATAAATTTCCGAGCAGTTTACGGTGATTTATAATCAATGCTTCCAGAAAGGATGGTTTCCTTTATCTTGGAAAAAATCTTCACTGACACATTTGGAAAAACCGGGAAAAAAAGACCATTAAGACGTTTCTCAATACCGGCCTACAAGCTTCCTGCTGTTGGCCGGAAAAGTACTATAGAAGCTTATGATGAATTATGTCATTAAAAAACAAGGTATATAAAACTGACAATTTGGGTTTATACCACAGCGAGGAGCAGTTGAGGAATTAATTGAGGTTAAACAACTAGTTGAATCTAAATTAGTCAAAAAGAAGCAAGCGTTGATTATATCAATGGATGTAGCTGGGACATTTGATGCTTCATATTGGCCGGCTATCCTAAGGCAATTAATCAAAAATTGATGTCCAAAAAATTTGTTTCGGCTTCATAAAATTATTTTAAAAATCGAGAATCTAGTTTAGAATTAAATTCTTTATCATTATCCCGTAAGACTCAAAAAGAGTGGCCGGAAGGATCATGTTGTGGACAGGGATGTTGGATCTTAATGTATAATTCTTTGAAAGGAAAATCTCGGAATGTATAGAGATTTATGCATTTGTGGATGATCTATTATTAGTAGTTTATGCCAAAGAAGAGTATGAGTTAAACATTTGGGCAAATCATGCAATGTTTGAAATATAAAAGTGGTCAAAAAATAAGTATATATCAACCCTAATCATTCAGAATCAAGTGTGTTACATATCACAAGAAGAGGAGCTCAGAACCGATACGGGATAGCGGGAAAAATGATGTGAACAGTTAAAACTCAAAAGGTATATTGAATTTGTTTCGACAATTAATTGAATTAGAATCAACATATTCAAAAGACTTGCGAAAAAATGATTATAAATTTCAAAGACGGCTAACGGTCTTGGAGGAGGAGCGTTAGAAATAATTTATAAGCACGCCATTTTGTTTAGAAGTTTTGTGGAGCTCCTGTTCGGTCTGATGCTTTAAATAAAAAATATAACGTTTTAAGTCTGAGAAGGGTTCAATGTAGAGCTCTTAGAGGCTTCAGGACAATATCCTTTCATGCAGCAGTCTTACTAGCAGGAATAACGCAAATTGACTACAAAATTAAAGAAGTAGTAGATATCTATGAAGCCGTTAAAGGATCCCCTTCTACCCATTATGCACAACTAATGCTAGATTTGCCATTGAAATGGAAAAATGGGATCATCCCGCTGAGATTGAAAATACACTTGGGAAAAAGGTAATCGAGTATTCACAAACGGGAGTAAAAGTTCTGCAGGTGTAGGATGCGCAGCAGTTGTCTATAGAGATTCAACTCTTATTTGTGTTAAAAAATTGAAATTAGCAAATCGGTGCAGCAACAAGCGAGACTTCTCGCAATCTGGGTGTCCTTAGATAAATTGATACATATAGAAGAAGATAAGACACAACAAATAGAACTGCGACAATTTATACAGTATGGTGGCACTGATAATATGATCGAAGATAAATCGTAACACTTAAATCTGAATGATGAAATCCGTCACAAATTGAAAGTTCACAGGAATAACTCGGGGTAGAAATAACATTATAGCAAGCAGACACTATGGAAAGGAGGCCGAAGATGACAACATGGTTTTCTTTTTCACAAAAGCACCAAACCACTCTTTCTCTTTCACCCTCTCTCCCTCCCTCACTCCCTGTCATCCTCTCTATCTCCCTGTCTCCCTCTCTGTATCTACCTATCTTTATACATCTGCCTACCACTATTTATATTTCTCTTTTACTCTGTCTCTGCCTGTCTGTATCTCTCCCTCTCTCTTTCTCTCTCTCTCTCTCTCTCTCTCAATTTTCTTTCCTCTTACACTCTTCACTATAATCTTCTCCCTTCCTCAGACATCGTAGGCTTCCCAATCACCCCCCTCTCACTCTCTCTTTCTTTCTCTTGTATCTATTTTCTTTAGTTTAGGTGGGCGTGAAAGGGATAGAGAAGGCGAAATGGAAGGTTCAAAGCGTTTACTTTTTCCCAGAGCCGACCTATTCAACGTAGCTCAGAAATTTTGGATCATCATGCCTTTCCTATCCCCGATGAAATCAGCGACAATCCTATTCTATTGCACGATATTCTATCCACA